TTACATGTAAATATTTATTTGAGATTTGAACCTGGAGCTTCCATTGTCAAAGAAAGAACTAGAGAATCTTAGAAATAAAATCACAACTGCAAGCCTATAAGGATAAAAACATAGGGAGAGAATGAAAGGGGAGCTGACTTAGAATTAGGAAAATTGTTAATGATCTTAATAACAGTAATAGGAAAGGAAGAAGCACTAGTTTAACACAGCTAATGAAGCACAAATATTTAAACTTAAATGTTTGTTCAGAATAACTAGATTTTGGACCCTAACCTTCCAAGTGAAATAACAGCTCAAGCATGTCAATAAAAACAAGATATATTCTGAGTAACTCAAACTAAGCCTGTATTTTAAATCCACTAGCATGGAGTTACAGACTGAAAGTGATACATACTCTTACTGTATAAACTCATAAAGTATTTTCATCAAGAAATCAAAACACAGTTTCAGTCACTGATAATCCTTGCCATCCCTAAAAAACAAATGTTTCCCATTAGATGGCAGTGTAAGGTCAGATTTAAACCTTCTAAAATGGGTTAGCCCCAAGTCACATGAAGAACCAAGGCCTCTGGATTAAGTGGAGGACACAAAACTAACAGGAATGTTCTAAACACCTCAGCACTGGCCTTGCAGTATGAGAACAGCCTGCAGCAATGACTCCTGGTGAATGCTCCTCAGTGGAAGTCATTCTGAGAGCATTCCAGCCACCCCGCATACAGTGAGGCCTGCTTGTGGCTATGCTGCTCTGCTTGCATGGAAGAGAATACCTTTCCCGGATGTGGGAAATGGAAGACTAGCACACTGAAAGTGAGCATTCAGAGTTCTTTTGAGTGTGAGCATACTATATTCATTTCTTTTAGCTTTAAATTGTTAGCAGCATTGCTCACTGTATTGTTATCAAGTATCATACGTTTGTTTTGGTTGGTTATTTCTGGCAGTTTCTGGACTCAGGCACTCTCACAACTCACCTATCTATTTTTTTTTAAAGTTCTAAAGCTGATTCATACAAAGCTCTTCTCTTCTGCACTCATTATTTTGCTGACACTTTTATTAAACATAATGATGTTCCAAATGTAGTGAGAAAATCAGTCACCTTTGTTTTCTGATGGAATGCCAAACTGACTGGAAGAAAATCAGATGTGCCCTGGCCATGAAACTCACATAGAAATAAAACAGATATTAGTGGTACATCAACTGACTACTCTAGACAACCATTCCCAGGTAGTAATTCACCACAAATGCTGGAGATCACATTAAAACAAGACAAAGTTTCATTTTTCCGCCACCACTCCTATATATATATATATATATTGTCTCCAAAACATCACCTATAAATATCTCATCAGGTAATTGAGTATTATTAACATCAAGAAACAAGACCTAGTAAAGACTTTCAAGCAGTATGAACTTGTTTTTAATCTTCCTTTTTGGTTTAAATATTTGTCTCCATTACAACTTAAGTCATGTTAAGAACACAGATATTTATTTGTAAGAATCAGCATCATAAATCAGAAACACAGGCTTTGTACAAGCAAATCCTAGTCTCAATTCAAAGTGAAGTTATTTTTTCTGAGCAATTAGTAACATTTTTATAAGTATCGCAGCACCATGTGTGCAAAAACATCAGTTAAAAATTTAGGAATATGAAGAATTTTAATAGTCAAAGGCAGCCAATAAATAACAGTTGTTAAACTTGTAGGCTGAAAGGAGACAGCATGCATGCTGGGTCTACCAGTAAAATATTTATTAAACTCTGACTCACACCAAAGAGCAACAAGGAAACTACATTGTGCTACTCTCACTTGCTTTTTCATTTCAGAGGAACTAGCTAAAACACTGCAGAGCTCCTCACTATTCTATTCCGTGGAATTTCCATAGCCATTCATACAGCAATCACCAGAAGCTGGTTATCTTCCACAGCAGGCCTCACCACTTCAATCTGATCATTCTTTAGAAGAGTTGAGTATTTTATGACAAGTACTCACAATTCTTCAAAACTTCTTAATATATTTCAACAAACAAATAATGTTATAACCCTATTATTCCTTCACTAATAACCTTTTTAAAAAATAGGTCCACTCTGGGCTTTTAATTAGAAAACTCAAAATGACATTAATAAACAGAAACAAAAGATTCCAATATGAATACAACATCATACTCTATGGAGACCAAAGCATTCATCTAAAAAATATTAAGTGGGTCAGGGAAATAAAACCCACATCAATATTTTACAACCTGCCTTCCCTTTCCTTTTCTCCTTCTCGAAAATAAGACTTCTTGGCCGGGCGCGGTGGCTCACACCTATAATCCCAGCACTGTGGGAGGCCGAGGTGAGAAGACTGCCTGCCCTCACATGTTCGAGACCAGCCTGGGCAACTTGGCGAGGCCTCAACTATACAATAAACAAAAAATTAGCCGGGCATGGTGGCGTGTGCCTGTAGTTCTAGCTACTTGGAAGGCTGAGGCGGAAGGATGACCTGAGCCCAGCAGGTCAAGGCTGCGATGGCCATGAGCAGGCCACTGCACTGTAGCTTCGGCGACAGAGTGGGACTCCAACTCAAAAAATAAATAAAAGAACAAACAAATAAATAAATAAGATTTCTCTGTCTGAGGTCAAAGAACTCAGTAAGATAAATTCAGCTTTCTTGCCAGTATCTTTAAAAAAAAAAAAAAAAAAAGGAACTCAAAAAAGCACTTTTCTGGCCAAAAACATTCAGGTTATCCTTTCTCTGTCCATAGAGCCCTGCCCATGTTCTCTGATGCTGCAGGGATCTGTGCCTTTCTCAGATCCCAGTTGCCTACACTGAAGACACAGATGTCAGCTGGTGCAGAGCTAAAGGTGGGGCCAGGACATCTATTCACAGAATGCATGGAAGGGAGGACACAACTGACCTCCACCCATCAAAGTGGCGTTGGCATTTCTCATTGCCTACTATGTCTCGCCCCCGGACTTTCCTTTGAACATGTGTTAACATTGTGTTGGTTCTCCCCTTAATTAGTGAGTTAAATAAAAGTTCTGATATCTGTTCATTTTATATTTATATGAGAATCATGATTTTCCTTTTTTTCAAAAATTAGCCTTTAATATTTTACATCATCCCATGACTGAGCAACTATTTCTGAAACTTAAGCAGCAGCTTGAAAGAAAAAATTGTTAATTATATTCCCAACTACATACTTCTTGAATAAATGTACATAAATCTGCTTTAAAATTTTAATACACTTTGTTACCCTACAATCTTAAGTTATTAAAAAAAATTTTTTCTTAAGTGGCAGAGCAATTAATAGTGCAAGTCCAAGAAGAGGAAAGAATTCTGTAATAATGACTAGCACTTTTTAGGCCCTGCTATGCTCTATGTGTTTACCTATATTCATTCACTCACTGAATTCTCACAAGAACCTTAAGAAACACAAAACTATCTCTTAGAGAAGAAAGGAAAGTTTTAAGAAAGCTGAGTGCTTATAGTGACGTTATTCCTAATGGCATTACCAATGTTACCAAAGAATTATCCTGCAGCAGATTAAGAAAAACTGCCATTAGAGACATCCAAGCCAAGCCTCTACGGGTAGCAGAAAGAGGAATAAAAGAGACAATCAAAGGCTGAGCAGACAAGAAGGTAGAGAGAAGAGAGGATGGGTTACATGCCAAAATAAAAGTTGAGAAAATAAACTTAATGACAGTAAACATCCAAATGAATCCTAACATTGATCATGCTGTCTCTCATATAAAATGTATACAATATCCCCATACTCCATTTGTCTGAGTACAAAACTGGCTCTTGGTTTCCAAAGGATGGCAGCCCAGAAGGCCTCCTGCTCACACTTCCAGGGCAGGCTTGGAAAGTAGTTGGCTTTCAGGAGGACTGAAGCAGCCCTTGAAAGGTTTAGTATCAATTGCAAAGTCTATTCATACATGAAACAGTCTTGAATAAAACCCAGTTATTGCCATTCTTTGCTGGACTTTCGTGATCTTGAAACTCTTAATTTATTGGGCACTGAAATCCTTAAAACAGTTCTAGAATGACCCACACTGCTAAAGTGCTTTAAATATGTTGCCTAGGACAGTCCAAACTTACTAAAAGCTGCTGAGTCTCAGACTTTTTTGATATATGAGACCTTTCAAAGCAAAAACACTGCCTCCCTCTCAGTCAGAGGTGAATCCCATCGGGTGAAATTTACTATTTGAATTACTAATGATCTTCAAGTATAGGCTTAAAGATTACATATATTTATAAATACAGATTAGTGAAGAATTTTTCCCATTCCTAGAAAAACCTAAAATACGCCTATGTTTAGTGTTAACAGAACTAATGTGTCACCTTAAGTAGGTTTATGGAGCAATACTCAAATTATAAGCCCACAAGCAGAATCACTAAGGCCAGAAAATAAAATACACATAATTAATACATTAGATGAATGGTTTAAGTAAAAAGGTATTAATGATCAAAGTTACTAAAACAGATTCAGAAAACAAAACTCCAGATTCAGTTTTAAAACACCTTGAAAGGTATCATTTACCTGCCACAAATCTGATTATTAACATTAAATAAATCTGGATTAAGTAATAATTATAAGCAGGTATTATTAACAAAATTAAAGACGAGATTGGACTTAATTGTTCTAAAATATTTCCAGAAAAATCAAGCAAATAGGTTATAAATTCTATTTTGATTTCAAGTACCATCTAAATAGTTAAACTCACCAACTCCAGATAACATATTAATGCTCAAATCATTAAACATATTGGTTATTAATATTTCAAGACTTTTATTATTCACAAAATGCAAACTCAAAAAACTAAGGTAAGTACTTTTTGCTTAAAGTTTTACTAATTGCAACATTCACCCACAACAAAGCTGACCAGACTTCAGAAATAACAAATATCGCCAAACAATTGAGGTGTTTCCTGAGACATGCTTGGGGTTTCAGTCCATTTACTTTAACTATATAAAACTTTTCAGCAGTTGAAAAATAAAGCCTGAAGGCAAGATGGTACTCACTTGTCAATCTCAATGCCAAGTGGATTAGCAGGACGTAGGGACAATGGAGGAATTCCTTTATTCCTGTCAGTACGCATATCATAATAATTCATTTCATCAACCCATACAGCAGACTGATCCAAAATGCCTACAAAAAGCAAGGAGCACATTCTTAATAAGATGATGACTCTCCAGGCACCTTCTGAGTCTGGCCATATTGCTTTACTTCTTAAAGACCAAATATAAAATGCCTGTTGGATAATCTTTAACAGATCTGAGGGCACAAGGGCTCAGAATTTGTTTTTAATGACTTGTGCCTTAATTTAAAACACTAAGAACCTATAAAAAGGCAAAAATAACACCTCCTGGCTATAGTTTCACTGACCATTATTCAACAGAGAAGACAAATTAAGACTCTAGGAAAAAATGTTGCTAAAACAAATTTATAGTACAAATAAGAAACATCACAAACCCAGTTATACATTGTTAAATATAATTGATTAAATTGGTTTAAAGATTTTCAGAAAGTCAGTATATAAGCTGCAATGGCATGACCTACAATATCTATTTATTCAGATACAGAAATTGCATAAACATTTGGAAAATGGCTGGAAACAAAACATTCAAGTTAAACATTAGTTCAATGGAAAGCTTCGTGTTTATGAAGACTGCTGAAAAACCATTATGAATATATAATTTTTTCTTTAATTCTTTGAGTTTCTTCTTCTGGGTTCTATAAGCTACCTAAAGTATTTCACTACAGAGGAACACCAAATGTTTTTAAATGGCTCTTGAAAACTCTTTAAAAAATATCTTTCATTGTCTTTTCCTCTACAAAAACTAACGTATTTTCATGAATAGTTATGCAAAAATAACATACTCCTTGCTAATTCTCATTCTTCTTATTATTATCAATACTGAAAATGTTCTAGATGGTAGAAACAGGTTTTTTTTTTTCATGCTAAGCAATTTTGAAAATTCAATAAAATATCCAACAATTAAACCAAACACCTTTCAAGAAATGCCAAGGTTATCAGGGAAAACTGACGTGTGGACCCTGTGAACAAAACATGATCTCTAAAAATGCCAAGGTTATTCAGGGAAAACTGACGTGTGGACCCTGTGAACAAAACATGATCTCTAAAAATAGCATCTTTCTTCATGTGACTGAGCACCTCATCATTTTACTCAGCACAGGACTTTCCAGCTATGCCTCTAGCACTCTTTCTCCAGCGGAACAGGAACAGGGTGCCAAGAGCACAGAGGAGGTATGCCCACTCTGCGGGGGAGGTTTGGAGGGCTTCCTATAAGAAGGCTGTCTGAATATCAGGCAACCTGTCTGGTTCTCCCTTGGAGAACCCACTAATTCACTCAGCACCAATGGTTCTGTCAGCTCACAGCAGCGGGCTTTGTCAGAGGTCATGCCAAGTCCAGACACTCTTGTGTTCAATTCAACAAATCTTTACTAAGCCTTCTATGTGCCAGGTCCTAAGTGTTTTATAACAAAATTACTACCTTCACATAAGTTTTATCTACCGTATAAACACATTATAAGATGATACTGATGCTTAAATTGCTCCCAAAGACTGAATGACAAGTTCCTACTTTAATTTCACAGTTTAGTTTTTGAAGATGCTAAATTTTTCAAAAAAAATAACAAAAATAGAAATATATTTATATAGGTATGCATATAAATGTACATATACATATACATATATACATAAATATAAGCTCCCCTTTGAATTTCCCCTTACAATCCTTGGATTTTTACTTATTAAAAAAATCTTGAAATTTCTGAAGAATACTGGTACAAAAAGTCTCTATGCACTAAGATAAAAAACAAAAACAATTTGCAAAAGTATTTACTTTTCTATATAAAGAGAAGTACTGGCTGAGTTTAATTATATGCCCACGATATTTCTACATTATACAAATATTTATCAAGTACTGAGCATGTGCAGGAATTACAGGACCACAAAGATGAATCTGACATTATACTTAGTTTAGTAGGGGACAGGGGCATGTATAGATATAGCTACAAAAAATAATAATGAAAAAGTATTCACTTATTGGATAAGGGACTATGCTAAGCACTTTACATTTATGTTTCACTTCCTCCAGTCCTATGAGGGAGGCAACAGTATTATTCCACTTTTATCCACAAAGGAATGAGGCATTAAAATTCCACAGCTAATCATGGCAAGAGCTCAGGTTAGAAATCAGAGCATGGCTCCTCAGATCAGGTTCCTAACACAAACAGAAGAAGCAAGTGCAAGTGGTAAGCACACAAGAAAGAAAAACATCAACTGCTACAGGGTTTGAAGAAGAGTGATCATTACTAGTGTGGAGGGCAAAAAGCAGATCCAAGTCAGGTAACAAGGCTTCCAGCCCAGAAGGATGAAGAAAATGAAGGGAAAAGGAACATTATTTAGATGACATAATATTATTACAAATCTGGTCAAATCAGAAGGATATTTCACCTCAAGCCTTAATTGTATAAGCATCTAACAGCAATGTTATTATATTCAAGATCAAGGAACCAAAACTGGTAATATCAAAACATCAAATGGGCTGAGCATAGTGGTTCTAATTATAGGTGGGCCTATAATCCCAGCACTTTGGGAGGTCGAGGTGAGAGGACTGCCTGAGCCCACAGGCCTGGGCATCTTGGTGAGACCTCATCTCCACAATAAATCAAGGAAAATTAGCTGGCATGAAGGCGCACGCCAGTGGTTCCAGCTACTTAGAAGGCTGAGGCAGGAGGACTGCCTGAGCCCAGCAGATCGAGGCTGCGGTGGCCGTGAACGTGCCACTGCCCTTCAGCCGGGGTATGAAACTCCAACTCAAAAAAAAAAAAAAAAAAAAAAATTAAAGGAACAGATTTTGCTTAAGAACTGAGAATGATAGGTTCTCTTATGATCATTGTCCTCAGACTTCATTGACAATTAGTTCAGCAAAAAGCCTTTCCAAAAGTAATGCAAATATTAACCAACATCTCTCTTCAGAAAAATTAAACAAACTAAAGCTAAGTCAAGATATGAGAGTAAGTAAATTTTATACCAAGTTATTACTATTAGTTTTACATTTTAAAAGACAAATTTATTTTTACTTTCTTCTTTTGAATAAAGTCATAAAAGGTTTTACCTATTTTCTCAGGTTTGAGTAGCTTGAAAGAGACTGTTGAAGTTCCTTTGCCACCTGACTTGGTAGTGACAATAATGTCTCCTTTGTCATTTTTGGCTTGTCCCACTCGACACACTATTTTACTTGCAGACATCCATTCTGCTGTCAAGAGGCAATTATGTCCACAAATTGTCAAGCCTGAAAATAAAAGCATGCACATAACAAAGTTCAAAGACAAGACCAACAAGACATACAAAATTTATGTATATTGCATTTTAAAAATCTAGAAATAACACTTCATTGTTCCACAGTTATACTTATTATTGACTACATCCAGTACTATTTGTAAATATTTAATTGTCTTTCATTTTTCTTCTAATTTGTTATTTCTCTAAGACTTCTTTTAGACTATATTTAAGTTTCTTCATATATCAGTGGAATACGAAAATAACTGACCACAATAATTATGTTTAGGCATTTCAGATTACTTAGACTTACAGAATCTCAAATTGCCTTCAGAGGTATTAGAAGGAAAATGATTGCTATTATAAGTCTAAGTTATTAATGTAGAATTTTAAGGCATATAAATAAATGTATACATCATTACCTAAAAAATTATATATTCATCCATCTTCATTAAAATAATCTGCATGTACTTTTTCTAGTGTCCAATTATATACGGCATTACAGAATGAATTAAAATAGATACTTTATTTTAAGCATAGCTTAGAGTATGATAAATGCAGTGAAATGTTCTTGGATATTTCTAGATTACTATCTCATTTTTTACATCTGCATATCAGTTGCTATCATGGTAGTTCCTGCTGCCTTAGTGTTTTTTCTAATGAAACTGTCACTACACTATGTTCTGCTCTTACAGTAAACCTGTACTCCCAAAACTCAACTCATGACATGGCTTACCCCACAGTATATAAATTAAAATTTAGGCAAAAACCAAACAAGAAGGCACTGGCAGCTGCTGTGAGAGACATAACCCCAGGGTGGAATACCAGCATACCACCACACCAGCCAGTCTTCTAACTTTTTTCCTTTATGTTTTCCATTTCCTTAAAACAGAAACTAATGTAATAAGTATTTATGGAGAAAACAGACCTGAATGTATGCAGCAGGCACAGGTACTTCACACATTCTGTTCTCATTCCTTAACTTTGTATATTGCTCAGCAGTCAAGTTTGGCAATTGTAACACATATATATTTTCAGATACCAGAAGCACCTCAACTAATACCAAATCTGATTTCTAAAATGGAGAGTCAAGTCATCTTTTGTTACAACTTTAGTAGGAATGATATGCTATTTAGCAAGAATATCATGCTAACAGTAAAGGAATAAAAACAATTTCATTTTATTCATATTGCTTGAAATAATGAATTTTAGGGATTTTTCTAAAATAGCTATTATCCATTCATGTATGGAACTTTGTCTTTCTAATAATACCATTTAAACGCTCCTTTGGGACAAAGTTTTCTATTGGTATTTTTTAATATGTAATGACACATTTTAAAATGCATTTGTAATTCAAAATCACTTTTTCAAAATGGGAATGTCTTTCATATATTTTATGATAGTCAATTTTTGTTTTGAAAAACTTAAACAATTTGGAGATGGGGTCTCTCTAAACCCCACCTCGCAAAAGGAATACGTTAACACTTCAATGCACACCTGTTCAAGAAATTTTATGCATATGTAAACCAGTCTATATATTTGTTAGATAAATGTTTTACTTTGCAACATGCTTAATTATAGAAGATAGATATTTTGATATCACTCCAGGTTGATAAACAATTTAATTTTTTGAATATCAAAAACATTATTGTGATTTTAAATACTAACTTACCTCAGAAAAAACAATAACTCAACAATTAATGTCAGGGCATAAAGTAAAAATACAAACAGTATCTTCATTAAAAGAAAAAAAATCAGTCTAATTTAACTATCCTATAACTAAAAGCAAGGAATGGGTAGATTTCAGATAAACAGACATAAAGTCTCACAATCACGCTCCATGATATGCACAGAGGTAGACACTGGCCCAAAACTACCCCCAGAACAACAGTGTATTCATCTGATCGTAGCTGATTTTTTTTTTTTTTTTTTTTTTTTTTGAGTTGGAGTTTCACTCCGTTGCCCAGGCTGAAGTGCAGTAGCTCACTCACAGCCATCCCAGCATTAACCTGTTGGGCTTCCACCTCAGCCTTCCAAGTAGCTGGGGCCACAGGCATGTGCCACCACACCCTGCTAATTTTTTGATTCACTGTAGGGATGAGATCTTGTCAAGTTGTCCAGGCTGGTCTCAAACCCACAGGCTCAGGCTATCCATTCACTTTAGCCTCCCAAAGTGCTGGGTTTATAGGCTGAGCCACCGAGCCCAGCTCATAGTTGCTTTTAAGATTCCTCTGAATTTAATATCTGATATATATTTTTACTCCAAAAAATGATAAGCAAATCATTTAAACAAAGATTCAAGTAGATTTTAAATGCCAGAAAGAGAAAAGATCATAAGACCTATTTCTTAAGCATATTTTTGCTATTACTAAAAGCTAAGAAATCTGCTAAGTTAGTAAAAGCTAAGAAATCTGCTTCATGAAAGTAACTTGCAGAATTCCAAGTAATGTACTTTCTATAGTGTTTTGCTTGGCTAGTACAGATATCACCTGAGTTAAAAACACTCTACTTATCAGGTTTGTTTGTTAAGTTTGTTTTTCTAAAAAATGGTTTCTTGGCAATACATGAGGAAGGTTGTTTGAAAGGTGAACTAGAAATGTTTATAATAGTAGTAACACTTAGTCAAATAAGAATAGCATTGCCTGAAGCTAAAACAAGATTAAAATTTACACAGACTAGTAAGTATTACTTTTGGGAGCTTACAATGATTGCCAGTTAAAATTTTGCATATAGCCTCCACCTGCATGTAGATTTTCATGCACTCTGGAGGTTTTTCCACATGAGTAAAGAGACATCAGGAATGATCTACGTCAAACCAAGACACAGGATTAGATAAGACTATCTTTTCAAGAATAAATTAAGATAATGTTTACTAAAGAATCAAAGACTATAGTAAGAGAAAATAATATAAAATGAGACATACTTAACAACAGAATTAGTGAGGAGGTATAAAACTCAGTAAACATAGCACATAGCCTGGCTCGGTGGCTCAGCCTGTAATCCCGCACCTTTGGGAGGCTGAGGTGAGTGGATTGCCTGAGCCCGTGGGTTCAAGACCCGCCTGGGCAGCGAGACCTCATCTCTTCAA